CCCTACTATATATATATATATATATATATATAGATATATATATATATATATATAAAACGACCACCAACCACAAAGAAAAAGATGGTGGACCAAAGATCCATCATATAAAAATGGACTAGCAAAATGTTTTAAGAAATCGAGTTGTTTTGAAACAAATCTTCAACAAAAAGCTAAAAGCTGTGCTTGTGAACCCAATCTTGAGTTTTAGTTTTGCGAACATTCCCATTCATGTGGAAAGTTGGATTAATCCAATAACAACGCTGATAAACTCTGTACTTCTTCTTTCAAGGCCTCTTCTCCTTTTGATTTGGGATTGGACGATTGAGAGTCGATCTCAGCTACCATTTCACAAGCTCGCTGATAGGATTTCTAGTGGGATTCACCACCTGGGCTGTGCATGGATGCCGGTTTTACCGTATCAAGCAGTGTTTTGGCCTCTGCAATTCTTCCCTTCTGCATCAAACAAATAGCCAAGTTGCATTTCATGGTGTTATCTGGTTCGATCGCTAATGCCTTCCTGTACTCTGATTCGGCTTCTTCGAATTTTCCTTGTTGCATATATACCCAACCTAAATTGCCGAGGATCCTGGCCACCTCTTGCTCTAGAGAAACATGAAACTTCTTTCCCTGAGACCTGGCTATCTCGGTCTTCTTCCCACTGAAGGCCTCCCCATCCTTGATCATCTTCAGCCTGTGTTTAAGCAACTCAATCTGATCATCAAGGTGCCCGCATCTCTTGTGGAGATCGAGGAGAACATTGTCGAGAGATTCCTGGGCTTGGTCACTGCAAAGATGGCGAAAAGATTTGATGGCCTCAATCTCCTCTTCTGCTCTGTTAACTTGTTTCATCACAGTGGCCATATCTTTGAGAGCACTATCCACCCTATCACCATGGTTAATTGCTGACCAGAACAGAGCAATGGCTCTGTTGGGATCTTTGTCCACAAGCTGAACATGCTTTGCCTTCACATAGTGAGTCACCAGCAGGAACCTTGTGAAGGGCATGGTATGGCTCCTGCCTCTCCTGAACCTTCCGGTTAACTTCTTTTTCCGGAGTGCAAGGAGCCAATCTCCATGCTCGGAGGGCTTCTGGAGCCTTCCAGAAGTCCCCCCGCATTCTTGCTAGATAAAGAAGAGAACCAACAAAAATATTGCTGGAAAAACCAGTCTGGCACTGGAAATTTCTTTTGAGAGTTCCATAAATCTCCCCACATTCTTGCAGAAAGAAGAACAGACCCAACAACAATCGCGCCAGAAAATGGCTTGAAAAAAAGAGAATGAGAGAGAGTGAGAGAGAGAATTTGAAATTGGGACACTTAATATATTTACATAGCCGTTATTAATCTTTAATTACTACATATTTTTGGGTAAATATTAATGGGATATAGATGCATGCATCGACCGTTATCAAAATTTCAAATATGTGGTGGAAGATAGGATGGAAAATCGTCATACACATTGTGTGTAAATTGTGGCATGCCTATTAAGATACCCACCGTCCAATCAAAATTGAATGCTAAAGATTGAATCGAAAATTATGATCAGATTATATATACCATGTCCGATCTCTAAGATCCAAAGTAGTTTGGATAAATGACCGTGCAATATATATGGGATCATCTATCTTCTGGATATGCCGTTTTAAGAGTGTCATTGAATAGACACAAATTTCAAAAAAAAAAAAATCTCGAAGTTCGTGGCTCACCCCAAACCATCCAATTTGAAACCTAATGAGTTGGAATAATTGTAACCTTCATGTACAGAAAAAAAAAAAAAGGTCTCTTCATAAATAATCCCATATATGATATGTATACCACTGGAGCATTACTTTTATTTCCAAACTTATGTCAAAGTTTGGTTGAATTTTGTCCAAGCTTTTCTCTACCATTAAGACTGATTTTTGTGAACTATAGATTATCGTAGAGCACATGGTTTTAAGTATTTGATCACGCAAAGATTGATAACATAATCAAAGGACACACTATATAAATGGAGATAGACTACGGTAAATAAAACATGCCGTTAGTAGTATTTTTTGGTGCAACTTATTGAAAATAAATTATTACTTAGTATAAGGAAATGGTAATGGCGATAAACATGTGGCCATCAAAGGTAAAATATATGCAAGTCAATTTGAGCATTCTCAAACCGGCATGTATAACTAGGGGTGGCGACGGGTCGGGTCCGGCCGGACCTAGACCTGGACCCAGATCCGACCAGACCGAAATTCGTCGAACTTGAACCTGGACCCGGACCCCACCTGACCCGATCGAACCCGACCCAAAAATAAAAAGATCTATGCTTTTAACCACATTCAAATATATTTCATATATAGAGACTAAAAAATATTACTGGACCCGGACCCGGACCCAGACCCAAATAGTGTTCAGGTCCAAGATTTGGATCCGGACCTGGATTGGGTCTACCCCTTGGGTCTAGGTCCTTTTCCATCCCTATTATTAACTAAATTAGGATACCAATCTATTATTTAGAACCTGTGTAAATATTTGGCATAGACAGGTTCTTAATTTGTGTCATGGAGGTGGAAGGATTATAGAGGGGAATAACTAGGAAAAGTGCCCTAGGAATATAGCAGGAAATGGAGTTGATACTCTTGGTTAATTATTCATGTGAGTTCCTTTAATGAGGTAATGGTCCATTTCTATTGTAGTAAACAATCATGGGCCTTTAAAATGGAGAAAATCATCCATAGCAAGTATATTTGATGGTTTATTTCATAATATAGAGGGATATAACTATCCGAACTTTACTTCCTCATCAGTAATTATTATTATGTTAAATTTTGTTTATTAAATTCCAATGAGTATAATTTCTTTCTGACATATTCATCTATCTTTTCAAGAACACAATATCAAATTATTCTCTGAATGAAATCATTATTTTTGAACAAATCCATGTTTCAACTTCTTGTATAGATTTATTTTTTAACTGTTTTAGATTTTCTTTGTTTCTCTAAATCCTATTTCTGCTCTCTGATTTACTTTATTTAAATACAAATCCATAAACTAAAGGACGCAAATTTTTAAGTGGAGATAGACGTTCCAATTTTTTAGCCAACCATTATCAGATTTAGACAATGAAGGTGGAGTTTTAAAGGACAGGCTTATCTACAAGAGACTATTTCAAGCATGGGTTCTAGAAAAGATATAGGACTTATGATTAGAATGTCCTACGACAATTTATTCACGAATGGGCACTGCTCTTAAAGCTACCCTAATAACAAAAAAATTAAAAAAATAATAATTAAACTTGGGACTGAGGATTCAATTTTGAAAATAAAAAAAATGCAGGTTGACATAACTTCTATGTAATTTTCACCTAAAATTATCTCATTTTATATTTTAGGTAATTATTTTGGATCTACACATAATTTTTTCTTAAATAAATATTTTCTAAGTTTCATTTTTGCGAATGCACGAAAGATAGATGCTTGAAAGAACATCATGTCAAATCCCACCGAATCAAGTTGGTAAAGCCATTTTTTGAAAACAAATACATATACCCAAAATATTACCTCCTAGTCTCTAAAGCAGTAGGTTTTAGGATTTCTATAATATCACCTTCTAGAGTAGGTTTTAGGGTTTCTATCTAATGTAGCCAAAACCAAGTTCAGATAATTCTCGTAGCTCTAGATTTTCAAACTTTTATATGTATTATCTGCTTTTAGCTCTTGGCTTTACAATTTGACCGTTTTGTTTCTTCTCCTATGATTGGGTTTGAGAAATGGAGGAAGTTATTTTTGGTGTTGGTTTGCGTGTAGTATGTAAATAGGAACGACAATGGATGAAAGTATACAAAGAGACCATTTACTTTTTGTACAGGAAGATCACAATCACTGACGTCTTTTAAATTTCAAATTGGATGGTTGTAATAGTGTAATTGAATAGATTCAAAGTTCAAAAGAGAATTTTTTAACGTTGTGACTCACCCTAAGCCATCCAGTAAGTAGGAATAATTTTGACCTCCTTATACAATAATTTTTTGTCCGATGGTCTTTGAAAAAAAAAGATTATCTCGTATCATTGATGCATGCGCATTCAACTAGTACTTAAACTTGCAAAACCACTCATAAACTCAAAAAAAAAAATACACCAATAACCAAATAAAAACACCATCTAGTCTCCTGTGATTGCAAATTCATGCGCCATACAAGGTCGTCCTCTTTATTTTTATTTTTCTAACAAATAATATGAATCACTCCAATGCTTTATCCATCACCTTTTTATGCATTCACATGCATAGAGTTAGATCGATTGGCTCTGCACTTCTTGCCAATTTAAGATTGAGATCAATTGGCTCATTACTTCTTGCCAATTTAAGAGTTAGATTGACTGTCGCAGAGTCCCTCGACAGATTAGTGGGCTCACAATGTAGTTCATGCCCTATCCATTGTATCTCATCTCGAGCATTGTAGCACATTTGCTTCAGCCAAGAGTGTGTTGTAGTGACATGCCTAGCCTGAGCACATTGTAGTGCTTGTACATAAGGATTCACGTATCTCAAGCTCGAGCATCGTAGCACCTGTAATTGCACATATGGGTTCACATACCTCAAGCTTGAAGTAGCCGGCATGATGGATGCAATGTTTTGAGGCCCCTCGAACTAACTGACATGGTCAACGATATTATGGGCCCCTCGCTTGCACCCGAGCTAGTTCTCAAGACTTGTTTTGTGAGCATTTTGATGCCTGGAGAGGTGGAAAACAGTGTTTGCAGTGTGGGCATGAATACTACTTTTCTTGATATTGGGAGAGGTCATTGCCCTTGAGAATGGAATTCGATTGGATCAAGGGAAAATTACATCCGACCGATTTTATTTAATCATTATTACATGATGGTTCAAAAATATGTGATATTTATGCAGATGTTTTTGTCCTCATGATTTTTTGATTTTTTTCTAGTTTGGCTTCAGTTCGATGCTTTTAATCATCGGACCGTATATTAATTTTTTTAAAAAAATTATAATATTAATATATCAATTTAATATCAAAAACATGAAATGCCAATTTTAAAGGGCAGGAGACATTTTTTAGTTGGCATGATATTTGAAACATCAAACTGTTTTAAACAATAAAAAACTGAAGTATAAATCGGTCCGATGTTCAGACCGCCTTATAGTATTTGTCTCATTAATGTACATGCATAAGTACCGGTAACATTGGTTTCTTCAACATGTATCAATTAAGACCAATTAAAATTGTACACATATTAGCATTGAGTAACATAGCTCCTTTAACCTGCATCAATTAAGATTTTACCCGTTAATGCGGTCCGATATTCAAAATATCAAACCATCCTCAACATAAATACTATATTTTAGCACCCCACGTACCACAAAATCAATTGACTGAAACATCCACACACAAAAAAAGGGGAAGGAAGAAACCCATCAAACTGCACCAAACGCATGCAAGAGAGAGAACAAAAATCAAGACGTAGTCCCCTTCACAAATTAAAAAACACAGAGGCTCAGTCACAAACACAAGCTGGAGGGGGCGAGGGAGCGTTGCCACTCCCACCACCATCCGGCAACTGCCCCTGGGCACCGCCTCCCCCACCGCTGCCAGACCCTGACCCAGTTCCAGACCCACTCCCACCGTTCGACCCACTGCCACCGCCAGACCCACCACCTCCACCACCACCACCACCACCACCACCCGCCACTTCACCTTGCGGCCCAGAGACACTGCCAGACCCTCAGCCGCAGCCGGAGCCCGAGCCGCCACCAGATCCTGAGCCCCCAGGTGAACTTGTGTCACGGCCACCACCTTCACCTCTGCCTCCTCCTCCCCCACCAGCACTAGTAGAGCTTTGTGATAGGAGGGTTTTTTTCTCCTCGACCATTATCCTGCATTGTGCAACGACTACTAGGAAGGTTAAGATTACCATTGGTACCATAACTTGGATCTTGGGCTTTGTCATGGTGGCAGAGGAGAGAGAGAGAGATTGGGTGGTGGTGTGGGGGATGAGAGGTGCTGGGGGGGGTTTATAAAAAGTATCGATGGTTGATTTTACTTAATTTCTGGTTGTGTTGGCTGGATTTTTTTGTACTGTGGTTAATTAAGAGTTGCAGAGAGGAGAAAGAAGGGCAGAAGGGGTTGGTAACAGGTTCATTGCAAATGCATTCCCTAGCAGAGAGAAAGAGAAAGAAGAGAGAGAGAGAGAAGAGAGAGAGAGAGAGAGAGAGAGAGAGAGAGTCTAGTTAACGCTAGTATAATAGTGGTAGGACGAGACGAGAGTGTGTAGAGTGTATAATAAGTCGTACTAACTAATATCTAGTGTAGT